TACCTGTAACACTGGCTATTATCCTGACTACCTGTAACACTGGGTGTTATCCTGACTACCTGTAACACTGGGTATTATCCTGACTACCTGTAACACTGGCTATTATCCTGACTACCTGTAACTCTGGCTATTATCCTGACTACCTGTAACACTGGCTATTAGTCAGGATAATAGCCAGTGTTACAGGTAGTCAGGATACCTGTAACACTGGCTATTATCCTGACTACCTGTAACACTGGCTATTATCCTGACTACCTGTAACACTGGGTATTATCCTGACTAACTGTAACACTGGGTATTATCCTGACTACCTGTAACACTGGCTATTATCCTGACCACCTGTAACACTGGCTATTATCCTGACCACCTGTAACACTGGCTCTTCAGCTGATTATTTTCTGTGGGTATCATTTCCTTATCCTATGTAACGTTCTGCTTTTATCTATATTATATGTAAATAGAATATTATTAGCAAACTTAAACAATGCTTTAGAATCTGAACTAAAACGTCACAAATACACGTTAATTTAAAATAGTTAACCTCCAAAATAGTTACTTTTTATGGTAATTACATGGGTATAAGGTTTCGCAACAAGCACTAAATAAAATGAATTAAATAATAAAAATAGTTATCCTAGAAAATGGTTAACTTTTATGGTAATTACATGGGTATAAGGTTTCGCAACAAGCACTAAATAAAATGAATTAAATAATAAAACTAGTTATCCTAGAAAATGGTTAACTTTTATGGTAATTACATGGGTATAAGGTTTCGCAACAAGCATGCTGCGAATCACTAGAACTGAATTATTAATAACAGTTTTCAAACCAGTAAGCAGTGGCTTATCCTGTTGAACTCTCTGGATTTCCGGTGTATTCGTTCTTCAAGCAATGCAAATCTTTGATAAATATCTGCCAGTCGTTTTGATAAATACATAAAAATATGCTAAACACATTGCCTTTATTACCATTTCCCCTCAGGCCTTTAACTTTAATTAATTTGCCAAAGTAAAACTTCAGTAAATGCACACGGTGTGATGTGATATTCCTTTACGTTTGTTAATTAGTATTAGGTTCAAAATTTCCTTTGTCATCTAATAGAGCTATTACTTAAGTTTTGTTTATATATGATGCCAGCTGACACCCTGTTAAAATCAATTATACATTATCATTATTATAATGAGACAAAATGACTGACACTTTGTGATAAGTTTTTTTCTGATTTTAATTTGTAACTTCTTGTGTCAAGGTTATCTTGTTTGGTTAGAAGTTCAGTTGTGTCGTTTATAAAAGTCTTGGGCTGGTGTTTTCTAATTGTGAATATATTCTGTTTCGCATGAAGGTCTAATCTTCTTATTATAAGAATCGTGCAATTAACGTTTCAGTTATTCTTAACGTATAACAAAAGATTTGTTATAGCTCATTGTTCGTTTTTCTAAACGTGGTCTTTAGATTCTATTTTTCTGTTTCCGTAACTTGACAAACGAAGATTGTTATTGGTTTCTTTTAATCCAAGCTCAAAACGCTTGAATACATTACAAACTTGGTAACACACGAATGCTACTCAGCGTTAGGGTAATTAGTTTTTAATATCCGTTCCGTTCAAATGATTAAGCTCCCCAGAATGTTAGAGAAGCTGATCCCAGAGATATAAAATAGGGTATTTTTTTTTACTTCCAAGTGGCAAACATCGTCAGCAGGAATGTTTCACTAATCTATATATCATGATATATAAAGAGACCCGAGAAGATCAGAAAAGCGACAGCTTCAGTTTTAAATTATCAATTTAAAACAAAAACCCGTTATGTTCAATGTGTCGATACAGTTCAATATATTCTAACTTCAAATCTATACAGTATGAAAAACCATATCGTTTGTGTAATTATATAATCTCTATTTTTAACAAGAAAACACACAATACTTCATTTAATAAAACATTAATTTCATAATAGAAAAAATTGCAAAACTGAGCTACATTATGTCACGAATGTAGCACACCTATACGGTGCCAGACAACCAGAGGTAAAAGATAGGTTGTGAAACATTGTGAAAGAAGTAATGTTTAAATTTTTAGCTGCTATAACTGAATATGTTGTCTGTTTAACATCTGATGTTTCAAAAATATACATGAACACTTACCAAAGCAATTAATGTTTAAAATTTCATTTTAGGAACGTTTTATTCATTCACAACGAAGTTGAACCCTATTTTGAAATTAAACCGTTCCGTAGAACACAGGAACATGGATACAGGGCGGTTTTTGTTTCAAGCACCTGGATATGTTAAAGTTTAAACTAAATACGAATATTTTAAACATCTGCATGTGTTTAAGTTTAAACACTAATTATGTTTTGAAACAGCTGTTTGTAGGATAATAGATTTATTTCTGTACAACGATTCGTCTTTAACAGTGATTCATGATCACATACAACATCCTTCTATTTCAACCACAACCACTAAGACCAGATTTAAAAGAATAAATTCCAAAACTTCAGAAATATAAAATAATACTATCTTGTTCACATGTCACAAAATATATTTTATCCAATTTATTTAAAGCATGAAACATTTATGATAATATTTTCAAAACTAATAAATCAAAATTACCTGTTCGCAAACACTTTAATGCTAGACGTAAAAACTGCCAACCTTTCTCTTTCTACACAACTGTTTGTCATCACCCTTTTCCTTTAGTTGTGGCATGTTTCTTTTTCAAATAAATGAATACATTATGACGTACAAAGATCGCCCTATTAACGAAAAAATAACAACGTTCAAGCAAGTAAATTAATCATCCATATAGAAACTCAAAATAAAAACAAACCTTGCAGTCTAATGTAAACTATAATTATTACAGCAATAAAAATGGCATATATAAGTAATGAAGGTTCTGACAAAAATTAATCACTTTTTTTTAAATGTAAATGTATCTAATGTAACATTTACTCCACACGAGAAATAATCTAAACATTAATAAGAAACTTCTTCAAAAAATAATATTTATTTGAACTCTCACCACTGAAACAAAATTTATTCAATTCAAAAATGCCAGAACCGTACTATTACAATTATCTTAAGCTCCAAAGAACTACTAATTAATTACATTACTAGTAATGTAATTTTGGCACAGCTTAAACGTTTTATTCCACATCACAATCTTCACACAATAAATTAGTAGAATAGACATAAAGGACTAATTTTTACTATTCCCCTCTTTCGTTCTTCCTCATTTATCTTTATTTTTTAAACCAATTTTAACCAAAAGCACCTTTAACAATAATAATAAAAAACTAGCAACAGAGCAAACAAATATAATGGACTATATTGGGAAATTTCCGTCAGTAATGTGATTCACCTACATCCAGCATAAAAAAAAACAGTTTTGAAATTTGGAACAAATTATGAAAAGAGTATCCAGTGGATGTGTAGTTGGGTCATAAGTAAACAAAGATCAAATGGTGAATATCTTAAAGCTGACGAATAAAACGTGATGCTTTTTTGTAGTTGTATAATGAGCCAGCTACAAGAAAATGGCCAACCACCGTGAGATGGTCTTTACAGGAAGTGAATGATAGAATTAAACAGAGTTCTGAAAAAATGTCAGAAACGCTGGATAAGTTGGAGATAATTCTATAATCAACAAACAGAGCTTCGACTCCAGGACCAGGTTGTGTGAGATACATCAAAATCAAAACTATCTCGAGAGAAGAGATACCCGAGTCAGTTGAAATAATCAATTTATAAACTATGGAAGAAAAAAAATAAAGAAGGAACTTAATTACTGCTCAATGACAATGCTGCCCAAACCGTTCATACAGAAGAGATATAGACTAATAGAAATGTGAAATGTATGGGTAAAGTTGATGTAAAGGATAGCGGCAAAAAGACTTCTGAAAGACTTGAAGTACAGAGATTATCTGCCTTTCAAATGGGGAGGGGGAGAACAAAGAGATCCATAGCGCCAAATGTCAAACCAATCAGACATAGCAACCAGCAGTGTAGGCAAACATCCCAACATTAAGCTGTTGAGCTGTTTGACGATGAATGTGTCTACAATCGAGTAGATATTTGAATTTTGCAACACACTAAATGCTCTGAGAGTATAATACATTCTCATACAATGAATGTTGGCTATGCTGGACACCATGTGCTCTAACTAGTAATTTAGATATTGAAGATTTGAAATGGTTGAAACAACTCTAGGTTACCAAAAGAATCGCTACTGAGTTTTTCCACTTGGGAGGCCACAGTATGATACCATATACATACTTTTCACGATAGTATTATTACAAGCATGTCACACACGCCAATGAATTTGATTTGTCAGCAAGAAACCAGTAAATGCTTCTGCCAGAAGATCATAAATAACAAAATGTCTCTGCAAGAAAATATATCCTACTGAATGTTGGTTACCAGATATTACATAGACATCTTTCTCTCTCTCTCTTTACACTAACATAATGCAGACAGAAGAATTCCTCATTAGAATTATTTGATTCTCTGAGAGTTATGATGAACTGCAGATTGAAAATGCCTGCAAGTATTGATCATTTCAAAGAGAAACCAGTGAAGAGTATTAGCCATTTCAAATATGATGCAGTCCAGAAAGAAGCCTTATCAGTTTGATCGGAACAACAGTCATGATCCAATTCAGCCTGGTGTATCAGTGGAAAAGTGAGCAATGACTAAATTACTGAGGTGCACAATATATTCATACGAATAGTAACAGAAGCAATCACATCAGCATCCTATACTTTTTGGGTTGCTTTGAGCGATATAACTAGGAGACAAATGATTCTTGGCAACCAAGCCATACTCAGAGCAACCACAGCCGTATCTCATCCACTTCATAAGCACTTATTCAACTTCTAATCTCCAGACGTACTCTAAAAATTAGCATTAAGGAATTTGTAGTCTGAATGATCATATATCATAAAAAAATATCATTTGAACTGGAAAAATCCTCTTATTAAAGTTAAATAAACTATATATGCTTTAGTGAATATTCGAACTAAATTCAATGTGTTACAAATTTGAACTAGAAAAAGAAATTAAGAAAAATATTGAGTGTGTTAAATAAAAATGAATAAAAACTTCTGAGAGTTTTGATAGACAGTTTTACAATAAGTGTTCAAAACAAACTTGTATACAACTGATGTAATCAAAATTAAAGGCCAGAAAAATTTGCTTAGCAGAAAGTAAAAAGAAAAAAGTTATAAAAATGATAATGAAATAATAATGTGATCTAAGAAACTCACACCATAAAACTGGCCCGGCATGACCAGATGGTTAGGGCACTTGATTCGCTATTTGAGGGTCATGGACTCGAATCCCTGTCCCACCAAACATGCTCGCCCTTTCAGCCGTGGGGGCGTTATAATGTGACAGTCAATACCACTATTCGTTGGTAAAAGAGTAGCCCAAGAGTTGGCGGTGGGTGGTGATGACTAGCTGCCTTCCCTGTATTCTATTAGTGCTAAATTAGGGACGGCTAGCGCAGATAGCCTTTGTGTAGCTTTGCGCGAAATTCAAAACAAAACAAATCATCTATATTTCTATTCTGGACATAAGATAAATAAATATTACTTAGCCTACTCTAACTAAAATTTCTCAAATACATGCAATTAAACATATCCTAATTAACGTCTTAAAGAATTGTGTTTCCAGTTATGTCGTTGCTTGTAATGAGAAATTACAGATCAGGATAAATATAAAAATTTAAGTATTTCTAGCGTTCAAAAAATATCCACATAAAAGTTAAAGACATAAATTATCGTAATAATTTATGCATAATTAGAATAACTACCTCATTAACGAGCACACACAAACACAGAAAGATCCACATATTAAAATATGCTAATATTCGGTCCTTGTTTAAACCGACAGTCTCTTGCACAGGAATTTTTAAGACTTTCCAACCACTCAACTGTTGTAAGTCTTTGTCCTGATTTAAATTGCAAATACTGATATTAGTAAACTAAACAAGAACTCACCTTTTTTTTTCGAAATAAAAATGGAATGTTATTTTTGCTTGTTTTGACCTTTCAATTCTATGTTAGTAAGTTTTGAATGTGGTTGTCTAATCTATATTTTCGGTTATAAATGGTATTATTTATAATGATGTACACTAATCTGTTAGAAAAGAATAGGCACTTTGATCATAAGATAGTGAAAACATTTAGCGAGCAAAATAATTCTTGTTTATAGCATACATTCGGAATGGTTTTCTGTTTATGATGTACAATGAAAACAGGCAAAAGTAGAAAATATAAGATCAGACAGTGTTCTAGGAAAATAAGATCGCTAACTGTAGCTTATAATCTTGATTCATGCACGCCACATTTTGTTTTCGCAAATTTTCCCGTCTGAGTTGTTCTCTTTCTAACCTACAAGCCAAAATATCTAGAATGATCGCTTGTTAACGTGTAGTTTTAGTTCCTCAGTATTAGTGCATTACTTGCTATGACTGCCTAATTCCACGTAGTTGTAAAAACAAAAGAATGTGATAGTCAGTGGCTTATTACCTGGTTGAGCGGAAGTAAAATATTATATCCTATCTGATCTGTAGAGTAATATTTTCCACTCTCATGAAAGTTTTAGTACTGATGTATTTATATAGCCAGTATTAACGTTTCCTGGTTACGCGACAACATGAATACAAAGCTACTCTTTCCTGACATAACTTTTATTTTTCATCGTTTTAAAGTTTTCTGGCGTTTAAGCACGTCGTTTAGCTGCCTTACGACGTGGTTTAATTTTGTCGTACTCTCTGAGCGATAATTCAGGAGTACGAAGCTAAAGTAAGTGTGCTATGTTGTGACTATTAAGCCTAGTTGGATAATATTATTTATTGCTTCTTCACAAAAATGGTAGCTCAGAAAAAAACATATTCCTGTCTCTGATCCCTTACACAGTAGTATAACTGCTAATAAGTGGGCACGCTTTTAAGTTTCAGACGCATTTTGGTATAATGACGTAAAACCGAAAATAAAACCAAATGGAGACAACCACACTAATTTGTAATTTTTCAGTAATATAATTTTTACAATATACTCTTAAACACTCTCTCTCACGAACTGGCAGATGGATAACAAACTACTACGTTAGTAATGATTGTTAAAATATATTTTTGATGTTAAAACAGCAAATGATTTTAAGCTCGCATGATGTTATACACTTGTTTTGGTATTTCGAGGAACTCGGTTTGAAGAATTTTTACATAACCAAAATAACCAATTAATGCGTTTATTTCGTGTTCAGAGAACGTGTTCATAAATTAATTTGTGTTAAATGTCGAGTTATACATTTTCCCTCTTCGTTGCGTGATGTGTCATCTTAATCAACGTATAATTTTGTATTTTTTGAGTTTAATGTTTCCTATTTTGTGCAGTTTTAGGATGAGTTTGTTTTCAATTTTCTCACAAAGCTACACAAGGACTACCTGTGCATAGCCGTACGTAATTTTGAACTAATATACTATAAGAAAGGCAGTTAGTAAACAGTGACCACCATAAACTACTGAACTACTCTTGTCATAACAAATAGTGAGATTTGACCGTCACTCTTATAGTGCACCCACTGTCTCAAAGCTGAGAAGGAACGAGAGCTATGAGCATTCAGATTCACAGCCCGGGCACACTAACCACGACCGGCCCATTTTAGAAGGTGTGTTTATAGGTAAGTATTTTAAATTAGTGTTCTGTCTTGCCAATCTCGTCGTGACTACAACTTACAAGACCACCTAAACTGG